AGCTCGAGATGCACGCCAGTAGCCCTAAAAATATTACACTGCATTATAGTACAACAAATAAAAATCAAAGAGGTCATTAATTAGATAATCAACTATCCATCAAGACAAAAAAATAATACTTGGTGCTTATATAGCATGGTACAGATCTACAACAGCTTGGGGTTAGGACATAGAGACGAAAGGCCCATGAGAGATCTGAATGGAAGGATGTGTTGAAGCAGGCCGTAGCCCTCTATGGGCTGTAACCCCACTGGGATGGATGGATATATAGTATGGTTACAAAAGAGGGTTTGAAAGTCTGTGCTGGCTTTGTCATATTAACCAGATGGAGAACAATTGCATCCCAAAAGTCATTCTTTATGGACATCTCGCGTCTGGCTCATGAAAAACTGGTCCCCTACACTTCCATTACGTGGATGTAATCAAGCAAGATCTCAAAGCAGTGAATATTGATACTGACCATTGGGAAGACTTAGCCCTAGACCACACTACGTGGAGAGAGATGGTGACCAAGAAAGCCATGAACAGTGAAAAAACATGGGCCTCAACTCTGGAAGACAAGCGTGCCAAAAGAAAAATGGCTGGCTCCTCTACCACCAAAGTGAAAGCCACCTTAACTTGTGATACAAGTGGACAGGAGCATCTCTCCTAAATAAGGCTCTACAGTCACATGAAAAATTCTACAAGATGAAACATAGTCATTACGACTGAAGGAGGCCAACAACTATTCATCAAGACCCAAAAAAATATTATATGGTTACAACAGTCTACTAAACAGATATTATACTAGGTGGAAGACAAAAGGAAGATAACAAGAGATGATGAATGATATTAAGGATGGATTGGTCCATCCTACTAGATGCTATTTCCCTAAAAGAATAAAGTTGAAGAAAGGGGAGTATTATAAAAAAAAGTCATGTGTTAGTTAAAGAACAGCTAAAGCTGGGTAAAAAAAAAAAATATTCTAATCTTTAACACATAATAATCTTCATTTGCTAATACAGAATATTAAACCATGTTAACCAAACAATTATTACCTTGGAGTAAGTTCCATCCAGCTCAATACAATGAAGAGCATCTTCTAAAGCTTCTACATATTTTTTTTGCTTTTCTTTGACGAACGAGATGTTGCTCCAAAGCAAAGCTTCATCATGAGGGGGAAGGACTAATTTACTAGTTTTGTGGAATAGATTTTCCTGTACAGTTATAGCAAATTTGTAGCAGCGTTCGGCAAATTCATAACTATGTGTCTTTATGTGATCTTCTGCATTCTTTTTCAAAGCTTGGATCAAGATAAAACAAAGGCTAGAATCTATAAAATAAAAAAAAGGGGGATAAGCAACTTTAAACAAAAGTATGTGACTTAATAAAAACCTAAACATAGTAAAAAAAAGTAAAGTAAAGTTCCACTTTCAGACTTGTGGTCTATAGGGCAGATGATGTAAAGGTCAACTGTTTCTGTGTACCTAAACCTAAGTGATTTTATTATTTCTGAAGAGTTAGACCATAAATTACATTCTTTTTGGTCCCAAGAAGTCAGCACTTTTAAATAAGAAGTCAAAGACCCACAGCCTTTTTATTTTGTGATAATGTAGAATATGCATTGATTATTGGGAGTCAATTTCATTTTAAGCTTTAATGATTTTTATGGGACCAACTCCAGCCCAGCTATTTCTGTCATATTTGTGTAACCAGTTTACCATGAAAAAAGCAAGTAGTTATTATTTGTTTTAGTTTTTTTGTTACTCATGACATTTTTCTGGGTGGAAAGACATGCTCCAATTTGATTCACATTTTTGTAATTCATCTAATTCTTTTTGTAAAATTTCTGTATCTTGTGTTGTTTTTATTGTTCTATCATGCAATCGTCTGCAAATAATCTGACTTTTGTGTCTAAACTAATGCAATTTGGTAAATCATTTATGTAGATTAGAAATAATAGTGAACCTAATACTGTTCCTTGAGGTACACTTGAGTTAAGTATTACTGGTTTTGATTTAGAGCCATTTATTATTAGTTTGTACTCTCAGTATCAGTAATCCTGAATCCATTGATGTAATGATACAGCAATACCAAAATACTAAAATTTTTTAAGCAAGGCAAACTTCTTCTTATTCTTCCTCCTTCCTGTTAATATGTTGGAGCGCTCCGATGACTAGACCAATACATGAATGAACTGTGCAGGGGTTTTCAAACCCCTTCCTAGGGTGGTGAACTTAATCAAATGCCTTTGAGAAATCCAATAAAATAGCATCTATTTGCTAATAAAGGAAGTGCAGGTTGCCAGAACATCTGCGCTGTTATCAGCAGGAGACGCCTAGGTTGGCTTGGTCACGCCTTAGAATGCCACATGGTCAACAACATTCTGTATGGTGATCTAACAGAATGCAGAAGAGATGGTGGTCATCCACTTCTAAGATATACTGATGTATGCAAACGCAATATGAAGCTCTTCAAAATCAACACTTAACAGTTGGGAAAAAGTGGCACTGGATAGATCCACACGGAGAGTGAGCATAAAAGAAGAGTCCCGGATCGCAGATGCCATACACAACAGTAGTAGAAAGAAGGGTGAAAGTGCAACCGCGCCTGGTAATTACAGATGCCCAAACTCAGACCGCAGCTGTGTATCAAGGATTTACCTCTTTAGTCACACAAGAAGCTGCAAATGGAAAAGATCATCTCTCACGATGTTAACTGCCACAGTCAGATGTTTTCTACTTGTTTTAAATTTATAATATGTCTTTGTCTCTAGGAGCTGAGAAAGCTGATTCAAAGTATTTGATTAGATTGATAGCTTTAGTTTCATTATCACTATGTGTTAAGCTATTAACTCCTATTAATGGTTCTACTCCTGTTGTTTCCATTTTCTTAGATTAAATGTATGACCAGAGGTTTTTATTGTTATCCTTGTTATTTTCTTTTAAATTATTTTTCCCTAATAACCATAATATAACTGTTATGTTTCAAAAGCTTAACAATGCAAACATAATGTTAGTCCTGTTTAATGTCTATTATTATGTTTTTAAAAGGTAACTTAAGCTTACATTATAGTATGTTTCTTAACAACAGAATATAATACAAAATAAACATATAAAAATTGCAATTTTACAACATTGAGTTTTAAGGATTTTAAAAAATGATCAGTGTTGTTATACTTACCTGTTTCTGATGTTTGCCAAAATCTGTAAATGAGATCTTTGGTATTAGGATTAAAATATTCACAATTGGCCAAATCCATGATTACAGCTATATCATAATATATGAAATCTTCTTTTTATTTCTGCATTTTCTGTATATCATAGAAAAAAAAAATACTTTATTAATTTGGCTTAAAATTTTATTACAAGTAAAAATGGCGCATCAGTGCAAACTTGATAGTGATAGCGACAAAAAAAACAACAACAAGATAGTTAAAAGGAAAGACTAGCAAATTATCTTATCATTGGCAGAGATTTATTGTCATATTTTTACAAAATTTTATCAGACTGCATTTTTACAATTAGTAATTAGTCTTTAGATCTAGATCTAGTATTGTCACTAGACTCAGTAGTAGTACTAGTACTAGTCTGTGCAACAGACAATGAGACATTCTCAACATTTTAACATTAAGTTGATTAAGACAGTCTAGCACCTAGATTCTAGATTTAGAGTATCATTTATTATCATGTATAGATCTAGAATAATCTAGATATAGATAAATAGATATATAATTTATAAAAAATAGATCTATAATTTCTCTATAATAATGTCAATAATTTATTAAAAGTCCTAAGTCTAGGTAGTAGGACTAATAAATTATTACTTATATAAATATGATTATAATATATGTATTGTAAGTTACATCTGATCTACTGATCTAGAATCTATACTATTACTAAGTATTAGTAGGCCTAGTATTACTATTATTAAATATATTTAATTATTACTACTAGTACTACTAACTTAGACTTAGTAACTAGTCTCTAGACTAAGAGTCTAGTCTAGAACTCTAGATTGACTAGATCTTATAAAATATAATAAAAGAAATATTAATAGATTTTAAGATTCTAATATATACAAATAAAAAAAATCTAGATTAATAAAATAGGGTTGTTGGTGCTTTGACGGCTTAGTTAGTAAGTTACTGTATGAAAACTAACTTAACTAGATCTAGATGTCTAAATCGTGATTCACAACTTTGTTTTAGTTTCGGTCATGATGCTGCTTCTGGAATCTATCTAAATAATTCAGAAAAAAAAAAAAAACAAATGTTGGCAACCTGTTTGAACAGTTACTGAGTCTTGAGTTAGGATTACTAATACTAGCAGGAGAAACTAGACTAGATTGAGTAGACTCTATTAATAATACTTATAAACTTGATAATCATTTTTCAGATAAGGAGCGTTAGGTAATTAGATTATAATTTAATCATTCAGCTTATGATTAGAATCTAGGTCTCTAGACTAGACTTTAGTTAGTTTAGATCTAGATTCTAATAATTGTTATTGTCATTTTCAATATCGTAGTAAATTTAGGTATGACTCTTATGCCAACTATTTTTACCTTACAGAGTTTATCCTATCACTAACCCATATATATATCAGATAAGTCGTTTCCAAGAAAGAATGTTATTTACCCTACTTAGGTCATTAGAATTTAGAGATCTAGATCTATCTAGTCCCATTTTAATTTTTATAGAACTAAACATAGATTAGATCTATACTTTTACTTATAGATCTAGATTAGTAGATAGTATAGTAGAGTTAAAGAATGTTATTAACTTATTAGACTTAGTAATTATTACTTCATTAAAAGATTTATTGGCAATATTCAATGAATATCGCTAATCTAGACCTTAAAGACCAACTGAAGAGGTTTTTTTTCGAAATTGAGATAGCGATTGATTTAGATAGTAGATAGCATCAAAGTTAGTTCCTAAAATTTTGAGATTTTAGAAAAGCGTATTTATATTAGAAAAAGTAATTTGAAAGTGTAAAAAATAACGAGATTTGAAAATCAGCTTCAATGGCCGAAAGCGGAAGTGACGTCTTGTAATGGACTGAGAAAATGTAAATAAAAATAGACATGGCTGGATACGTTATTGATAGCGATTCAGATATGCTTATCTAAATCTAGCTGTCAAACAATTTTAAATGATACTTATCATGGGATGCACCAAAATGCCCTGAAGATAACTCTTCTACTTTTCCAAAATATATTATAGAGCAGACTATTTAATTAATATAATTATAGATAGATTAATTTTAGATAGGACTACTTACTAGTCACTTAGACTTAGACTTGAGACACTAGAGTAGAGACGGAGAGAGTATACTTAGTATACTATAGATAGAGTAGTGAGTAGACTGACTAGAGTCACTAGATCTAGGTATACTACCGTATATTATACAGTATATAAGTCTATTATAATTTTAATTATATTAAAACTAAATGGCTAGATCTATATTTCTATCTATCTCTAATTCTAGCTAGGCCTTTTTAACCATTGTACTAGTCACTCATCACTCACTAGATCTAGTTTATAATACTCGACTTGTAATACACAATGTAATAATACTAATAGTTTATAAACTAGTAGATTGAAGTAGATCTAGAGTAATCTAGACTAGCTTCTATGTTAAGTCTAAGCCAAAGTCGCCAACATTTTAATTTTTGAATGCTTGAATTTGTATATCTCTGAAAATTTGTAATAGTAAGACATAGTGAGTATTGTCCTAGCATAATTCATAGATATAAATATAATATTATATTAGTCAAGGACTAAAGCTTAAGCTAAATCTTTATAGAATATATTTATAATAGATCTAATACATAGTAATTATATAGCCCTTTACTATACTTATTAATAAGGCTAGACTTAAGATCTAAAAAAATAATAAGTCATCATCTATATTGGTAATATTAAATACAGATCTATACTAAACACAAGTGACATGTCTTTAAGTCTTAAACTTAAACAGGGCCGATCCTAATGATTGCGGGGCCCTATGTGAAACTGATTGCGCAGGGCCTAGTCTGGGTGGGAAAAAGGATAATAAGTGGAAATTAAGATATTGTATTAAAAAAATTTGACTTTGAATTCATATTTACTAAGTACAAGATTACGATCAAATTAACTTTACGTTACGAACTTTGCAACCTATGGCATATTAATATGTCAGTCACTATTAAAGTAAATAAAGTATAGGATGGAAATTCCCGATTAAAGTGAAAATTTGCCTGATTTTTACATTTTATTACATGAAAGCTGACAATGCCTTTTTTCATTTATTGTGCGAAGGATTAGCGTTTTCCAGAATGAATGACACCCACAAATGACAATTTTGTCTATTTTCAGGAGATTTTTATGAGATTTCCAGGTTTTATATATACCGGTATATATATATATATATATATATATATTGCAATTTAACAATTGCACCTAGAATTAGCGCGGGGCCTATGAGAGTGCAGGGCCCACTGCGACCACATAGGTTGCAGTGGCTTAAGACCGGCCCTGGTCTTAAATATATTCGATTGCCTAGACCTAGAGTAGAGTAATTAATTATTATTAAGAACAATAAGAGTTAGATGTTAATGTTAGATCAGATAATCAGTATAACACATAATATATATATATAACCACTAGTTCTATATATATGTATACATAATTAAGTATAGATGTTAATAAATAAATTTTAAAAAATCTATTTTACAGAAAACATATATGACACATGACATACAGACAAGTTTACTAGATGGATCTTTCATCATTTTGGAAATACAAGAAGAGTTAATATTCCCTGTTTCTATTGTGAAACAAATCACAGAAGCATTCTACAATTTTATTTTATATAATAAATACCAATAAATGTAAATACAAAATCACATTTTAATAGAGTTCTTCATTATACACACAACATTATTTTAGTTATGTTCCTTTTCACTTGCTAGGTTTAGACAAAGTTTTGAATCAGGATTTAATATTATTAATATTTAATATTATTATGTCATAGCCCAAAACTCCAGCAGGATGTTAGTTAATGGCAGTGGTTAATGTGTGAACCTGAGACCACAGAGAAGACAGTTCGGAGCGCAAACCACACAACTTTCTGCGTTTTGAAACTTATTCAAATTTTGATCATTTCTATGTTATTGCAGATTTGAATGTCCATTGCAATGATGACTTAATCTGTAAAGGGGTTACATTTTTAAAAAAATAAGAGTTGGATCTCATTCTTCGAATGTTGCTATTTATTAGAAATTGCAACGTGGAATACATATTAGAGGCCAAAAGAAAATCCACTGCCTAGGGAAGACGTACACATCGTAAAAAACATTTAAATTGACCACCAGCTGAAAATGGTTATGTCTTTGCTGGACGCGGCAAAATATCTAGTTTGCAGCTAGGGCTGCGTAGCCATGGAAAATACTGCATTCCTCATTAATCTTTCGACTCGACTGCCAGCCTTATTTATTAAACACTTTAAATTATAAATAGCTCTGCATTTTTAATAACAATATAAAAAATATATATATATTCAGTGATTAACTGGCAATAATTGGGTTACTAAAATTTAATAAGATGAGTTGCATAACTACATCAACAGTAGCCTATATGCATTACTTAATATTATATTGATACTACAATTTATTTTCCACTTCCCTGACTTCCCAACTATCTAATGATTCTATTCCAATCAACAAATGAATCAAGTGTGGGATAAATTAAAATTCTTCAATTTTTACAAATAGATTTATAGAACTATTTAACTTAAGTCGTATATTAATAATATTATAGAATTGTTAGATCTAAATCTAATTTTTGCCTTATAGATTAGGTTAAGGTTAAAGCTATTTGCTAGTGTTGTACGGGATTGTGAAAAGATTCAAACTAAATATAGGCTAATCGTGTACTACAATAACTACATTGTCATCATTGCAATGGACATTCAAATCTGCAATAACATAGAAATGATCAAAATTTGAATAAGTTTAAAAACGCAGAACTACAGCTCATTGTAATTAATGTTTTTTTTTTCCCATATTGGGCCTATTTAGGGACGACCATAGGTTAATAATCACTATTAAGTGTATAGATAGGGTATATAATTTTAAACTTTGTTTTTCTAGATCTAGGCCCAGCACCTCGATTGGATCAGTCTAGATAGATCTATATAGATAGGTCTCATCTCTAAATATCCAATACTACTATTACTAGATCTAGACTTCATCTAATTGAATTTAGGTCTACTTCATACATCATTAATGATCTGAGAAAAGAAGATCTAGCTCTTGATCAAAAGCAGTAGATGTAGAACTAGAATAAGCCTGAAGCAGTGACATAAGCCATAAATTGCGTAACTTGACTAAAACGAAACATGTGAACTGAGGCACGCGGTACTGCGTCTGCGTGGGCTGAAACGCTGTTCGCTTGACTAGATCAAGAATAAGCCGACAAACATTAGATCTAACGTGCAAAGTCATAAATTGCGTCATTTGACCTAATTTCCCCAACTCTAACATCCACTTTTTATAAATTGGTGTGTTTAGTCGCCTTTGTTTTCAGAAACTGGCATTCCTGTAAAAAGGAATACGGAAATACGCTAAGCCATGTAATGAAAAATTTGACATAATTTCCCCTAAACTACGTCATCGACCTTGGTTGTCTGGGAAATACTGATCTCGAATGGCTTCGAGATTGTGAAATTTAATAGTCCCTAAAACGCACATTAAATTGCTTATATCTAAATAACTACAAAGAATATATGTCTAATATTCCGTATGTATGTTTTTTTAAGCATTATGAAACTAAAAAAATTATTACACCGGTTTCCGCGTCTGACCCCAAAACCTCTTCAGTTGGTCTTTAACTTTTACTTATATTTATATTTAAAATTATAATTAATACATTAGAATCTATAAGGCATAAGTCATATAATAATAATTTATTAAGTTATGCCACTCATGAGTCTCATGACATGGAATAGTAATTAAATATATACAACTTACACTACTATAGTGTATAAACTAAGTCACTAGTCTATAACTAGAAATGAGTATAAGTTTACTATAATGTCTATATTATAGACCAGAATTTAATATAGAATCTACTTTTATCTAGATCTAGTGAATTCTAGTGCCACTACTGGCACTACTAGTGCTTTTTATTTACTACTATAGTACTATAATGTAGTATTAGTATAACTAGTAATTAAACTACTATGACTATATTATATGAATTATCTAGCATATATTATAATATATAGATTAGTATAGTATAGTTAGTCATCTAGTCGTATAGCAGAATTGAGTATAACACTAGCCCTAGATCTCGTAGGCCTACTTGGTAGCTAGTCTACTGTCTCTCTGAGTCTGGTCAACTATCCAGCAGTGATACTAAATATGGCTGGATATTCAGCTGGATCAGGAGCTACTCTACTATAACATCTATCTAATATTCTAGATTTATGTAAGATAATGGAGGGGCCATCTTTCGAATTCTTGTTACCATTAGCAAAGTTATAATTTTTAAAGAATAAGAGTAATAACTTAATGTCAGCATGAATATGAAACGACTGCAGTCTGTATTGATTGAAGCATAGAATAGTTAATATATATAGATCTCTAGATAAACATATCAGCACGAAGGTAGATAAGTATTGATTTTAAAAACTCAAAAGATTTAAAAGATATGAATGGACTAGAAATTATAGACTTTTTCAAACCTTTGGAAGACAACAAAAATCTCTTCATAAGAAATATTGTTTTACCATCAAATATACCTGATCAGGAACAAGTTATTACTGTAAGTTATCAGTGCCATATTTATACTTGAGAAACTATTTGGATTATAATAGGGCTCAGCTAAATACTTGTTGGCTTTAAGCTATAAGCTTGCATTTCCTTTAGGTAGACCAGGCCCTGTATTGGTTATATGTATTATACTATAAGTAATATTAAATGGTTCACAACTAAGGGTTTTCATTTCAAATCATGATGTAGACATTCAATTTTTATCTGGAATTCTAGTGTTTACTGAGACAACATATCTAAAAAGGTTGTAAGACATTTTGAGGTAAGGAGTTCTAAAGGCAGCTAGATCAGGTACTGGCCATGTGGTCATTTGCATATTGATTGATTGAATGATTGTAAAGCCTGTAAGTGTAAAAGATTGTATTTTTCTCATAAAAGGGGCCAGCAAAAAGTGGATTAACACATGGATATGCACAGGACATGTATATCTGTCTTATTTTCTAGGTATGTCTGTAATTTAAAAGAACATGA